CCAAGGCAACATTCCTCAGTAAGTTGAACTACTAAAGTAACTAAAACTAAAATCTAAATAATAAAGACTATATAAAGAAAACACAAAAAACAAATAAGTAACAACAAAATTACTAAAACATTAACTAAAATGAAACACTGCAAAAAATGCTTTTCTAGCTTAGATCTTTTGTCTTGTTTCCAGCCAAAATATCTAAAAATTCTTAAATCAAGAAGGATTTTCTAGACAAGTAAAAATTATTGTCTTGTTTTCAGAAAAAACAAGTCGAATTCAAGTGAGTTTTTGCTTGAAACAAGCAAAATAATCTGCCAATGGGGTAAGAAAAATAATCTTGTTTTCTGTTTGAAAAAATGAATTTTTTGCAGTGTTTCATTTTAGTTAATGTTTTAGTAATTTTGTTGTTACTTATTTGTTTTTTGTGTTTTCTTTATATAGTCTTTATTATTTTCATTTTAGTTTTAGTTACTTTAGTAGTTCAACTTACTGAGGAATGTTGCCTTGGCAATTACTTCTAGATATTTTGGCTGGAAACAAGGCAAAAGATCTAAGCTAGAAAAGCATTTTTTGTAGTGAATGTAAATCAGAAAAAACAAACAAATTAGAAATATTAATAAAAAATATAATAGTATATGTATGATACTAAAATAGCACTAGAATAAATGCAATAGCTTGTATAGAGATAATAAACAGAGTTGGTTAACCATAGCAGGTTGATAATGAATTAACCCTTAACTATGGCATTACATATGGAATGATACATTTAATGTTTAACCAACAAATTTTGTCTAAAATAAACATAATAGCTAGCCAACTGTTTTTTTTACAGGTTTTTGTTTAATAATATCCTAATAGCCATCAAATTACCTGAAACATCTCCGTTTATGAGTTCCATTTCTAAAGCGACACCAGTCCAATCTGTCTGCTCAGGAAAATCCACAGTCAAAGACTCGTCCTGAATTCCTGGCGAAGATCAGAAAGTCATTAATAACCCCAAAATCATTTGATGTGTAAATGATTGTGTTTAATTTCATTTTCAGGTATCTCGCAATATATGAATCTGAATGAGTAAAATCAGTGAAAGATGCTGAGTGTATTTACTTTTAATGACACCGATGCTGTTGTGAGTGACTGATCCCCATCCATGTTTTGGATCTTTCACTGAAGATTTCACACTGACTCTGTTTCCTATCTTGAAGTAGGCATGACTGGGGGACCCTAAGAAGTAGTGTTACTAGTTAAACATAGAGTTAGGCTAATACATTACACCTAGATTAGGCAAATCTAGATGAAAACATTCAAGTGTGGAAAATGAATATAAAACGTAACAAAAAATGTGTTTAATAGAAAAAGTATATATTTGCACATACAGTGGGTACGGAAAGTATTCAGACCCCCTTAAATTTTTCACTCTTTGTTATATTGCAGCCATTTGCTAAAATCATTTAAGTTAATTTTTTTTCCTCATTAATGTACACACAGCACCCCATATTGACAGTGTTTAACTTAAATTATTTTAGCAAATGGCTGCAATATAACAAAGAGTGAAAAATTTAAGGGGGTCTGAATACTTTCCGTACCCACTGTATATATATAAATATCAGGGCACAGGTTTTCTTAATAAAACAATTGGCCATATTGCACAGATCATCTCTTGAAGATATTGTCATTTATCTATATTGTGCAAAATATACTATAAAAATGATCTCTATTAAATCAATGCCTGGACCATGTACTTAAAACAGATTAAACTGTGTGGAGTGGCACACATTGAGTGGTGATGAATTATTAAAATGCTATTTAACAAAATAACAGTGAAACACATACAGGCATCTAAAAATACATACATTTTACTATTGATTTAATTATTCAGTTTATAATACCTAAATCAGCACTGACTACAAGCTCCATTTCAGAAACTTCACCAATCCAACTTTCCTGCCCAGGGAAATCTACTGTCACAGTCTCACCCTGCACATCTAGAGAGAGGAAATCTTTTGTTATCTTTGAAAAGATTTTTTATGCCTAAAATTTGAGTGATAGTAACAATAACTGTTTCAATCTGTCAGATCAATGACAGCAGATGATCTCCTTACTTATGACACTGCCAATGCTTTTGTGGCTGACTGAACCCCATAGATACTTGGGCGTTTCTACAGATGGCTTCACACAGACCTTATCTCCTATTTTAATATTGCAGTTGAGAGCTGAAGATTCTGAAATACAGAGAGTAGAACAGAATCTAATTTCTTATGATTTACCGCTGTGGCAGTCTCAAATGCCTCACTCTGTAGATAAACAGCTGGGTTAATAGAGTATAGTATCCTCAAGTATATAAATGTCACATTTCTGTAGCAAAAATATTTATCCAAACAAGACCTCATATGATTTTTGCTGGGTTGCTACTAATTAGATGAGGAAACATTCTATTTCTGTTCTGCATATTTACCGCACTCATCATCATCAGTTACTGGCTCAATTTCAGAAAGAAGTCCTCTCCAGCTTGCAAATCCAGGAAAGTCAATGACCAAACACTTATCACTTTTAATATCTGAAAGAAGAACATGCAAATGTGAGTGCTGCACATACTCGTTTGTGATGTTTTGCAGCATAATGTACCATTTGTGTTTATGAGAATAATACATATCTTGCCTTTTACCACTCCCACACTCTTTTGTGTGATAGCGCTACTCCAATCATATTTTGGGGTTTTAATAGAAGGTTTCACTCTGACTCTGTCTCCAACCTTAATGCAGACTTGATTGTTCTTTATGGCCAGATCTGAAACTGGTAAAACATATAGGCCTATTTCATCACTCAAAGGTACAATCAAATACAACCAGTGAAAGTAACTCATAATAACTCTTACCTTTTCGAACAGTTTCATTAATTTCCTGCTTGAAAATAGTCTCCAGCTGCTTTTTAAGTTCACAAACAAGTTCGTTTACATCCGGATAAGGGCAGCAAGACTTAAAAGAGTGACTGGGGAAGCCATCAGACCCAGAAGAAGAGGACACAGACTCATAATTCTGCAGAAAAGTTCAGTCCATTTTTGCGTTTTCTATTGTGTTATATACAACACTTAAATAAGTGCAACACGTAGAAAATGTTAGCAGCAACTGTAACAATTTTACAGTAATAATAATAATGAAGTCTTCCAAGGTCATTTTCATTACAATTGATAACTGAGACAAAATATGACAGTTGCGTTTGTGTGAAAAAGGACAGAGCGAGTCCATGGTGTGATATGACAGACATTAAAGTAACACTTGTTTCAGAGCGGACTGATATACAGCATTGCCAATCGACAGCAAATATCAGGAAATATCAGACCGATTAATATACCAATCAGAATCAAGTACCGAAAAGAGAGTGTGTAATAATGTATAACTCTTGATAAGTAGTCTTAAAACATTTGCTTAACGCAAAGTGTACCTGAAGAAATTGGATGTTGTCCTCTGTCTGTAGAAGATCGTCAAGAACTCCTTCCCTCTTCTTCAGCTCAGTAATTTCCTCCTGCAGCTTCTTTTGTAGCTTTGTGCCTTGATCCAGATCAGCCTTTTCTTGAGCTTGTATCTTTTCAATCACCTCATTGCTTCTTTTTTCAATAAATTTGACTAATTCACTGAAGACTTTCTTACTGTTTTCCACTGCCTTCTTTGCAGAATCCTGAGGAGAACCAAAGCACAACAAAAATGTTTTTTACAATTACAAGATCCAACATGGCAGTGATTAACCTTGTGTCTGATAAATGCAGAGTTGTTCTGTAAAAGTGTGAAAGTTATTTGTTTTACATCAGAACTTACTGAATGGGAGGCGATGTCTATGTTCATCTTCTGCAGCTCTTTTTCTTTTGCCTGGATTGTCTGCTTGACTTTTGTCTGAGTGTCTGTGAGTTTTATCTAAGGGCAAATCAGTTGCAGTCTGTTTAATCTTACTGAAAACATTTGTCAATAGCATTTTGTAATTAAGTTAAGTTGGGTCATCAAAGGGGAAAAAATGATGGACATCTTCACCTGTTTCTCGTTGCGCTCTATTGTAGATGGCACTGTGTCATGGCCCTTGTGGTCATCCAATAAGCAGTGCATGCAGACACATTTCTGGTCCGTTCGACAGTAAACCTCAAGAAGCTTGTCGTGTTTGGGGCACACTGGAATGACTGCAGCTTTCACCATCTTATGTTTCTTCAGGGCAGGAACATTATAGTGGGGTTGTACATGTGTTTCACAGTAAGAGGCTCGACACTCCAAACAAGTCTTGATAGCTTTGATAATTTCTCCAGCACAGAAATCACACGCAATCTCTCCAGGTCCAGCAAGACATTGAGCAGACTCTGACACTTGCAGCTCTGTGCTCCTCAGTTTCTCCATTATTTCAGCAAGCACTGTACTTCTGTTGAGTGGAGGCTTTGAATTGAAGGCCTGTCTGCACTGTGGACATCTATAGACCCCGTTCAGATCATTTGTATTCCAGCACTCACCTATACAGCTCATGCAGTAACTATGTCCACACGGAATTGTCACAGGATCCCTCAACAAGTCCAAACATATTGAGCAGCTGTACTGGTCGTGATCTCCAAGTATAGCCTCTGCCATGTCTGCTAAAACCTCCTTGTGTTAGCAAAGAACCATGGATGTAAGTGAAGGTATAAGTGTGAGAGTGAAAGTGAAAGTGAAAGCAAGGAATGATTCATCATAATATACACAAATACAGTGATACAAATGCTTATGTGAGTTGGGAAGGGTAAAAAAAATCATTGTTTTTTGTATTTTCCTCATAACAGAGACTGGTGTGCTTTGAGTTATGGTCGTAGATCTTTGAATTTAGGGGTTTTCAGTATCACCTTTAGATGGAGACATCTAGTAAAGTCTTCCTGACAGAAACCGGAAGCGTTTTAGTCGTGCAGCCACAAAGCCTGTTGGGTAATGTAGTTTTGTCGAACATGAAAATCAGTAATGCATGCGAACTGAACTGTATGGTCAACACAACTAATTCCTCAATACAAATAATTAGCTTGTCATCATGATTCTTTAATTGAAACAAACTCAGCTAGGAAGAAATATACAAAACAAGAGCCACAGATACTTGTAGACCAATATGTATACACATGCCTATAAGCTTTAGCCACAATGGTTGAATATCAGTGCAGTTTATTTAATTCACTCAAAAGACAAAAAAGAAAAAAAGTTGTTCCATTTGTTTGGATTGTATTTTTGACAGGACATTTTCAATTTATTATTTTTAAAATTAGAATTAATTATTTTAGATTTATTATTAAAGTGAGATTGAACAGACATAATTCAGTGTATGTGCTCATTCCCAGAGCTAAAACAGATTTCAGTTGTTAAAAATCAGTCTATATCTGTAGAAAGACTCTTTCTAACTGCAGCACCCATGCTGTAGCTAATAAATTATGATGCAATCATACGAGTCAAATTGAAGACAAAAAATGCAAATTATTTTGAAACACCTGAATGAAAAGAACCATTAACATAAACTTCTGTCTAATATAATATCTCTCCCGTGCTGTGAAGGACACCAGTATGAAAACCGTAAGACTGAAATACAAAAAGGGTAAATTTTTCATGTTTACATGACTATAAACTTACAAATAAAGACATTGGCATGTTTCAGTGAAAACTCATTCAAAAAAGCAAATGGTGAGCAGAGACATCCACAGTCACATCTTCACGATCTAGGGGGATCTAGAAATGTCAGTGTCTGTAGACATACAGAAAGGCATAAGATTTTGGTTGCATGTTGGTAGGAAACAAAAACTAATTCAGGGGAAAAAACACATCTTCAAGTAACTGACCTGAGTCGTTTACCAACTCCATCTCGGAAAGAATACCTTTCCAGCCTTTGTGTTTTTGAAAATCCACGATCACATCCTCAGATTTGATATCTAGCCAGATAAGAGGACAGCCACTTAAAATATATCATTTCCAAGAGCAACTCCATGTATACTAAATGTAAATATACTGTGTACAATAAAATATATTCAAATAGAAAACCGTTATTTTAGCCTCCTTAGACCCTGTGACCTCATATGAGGACATTATATTTTGGTGTATTTCTCTGAGACTATACATGCCACACTTTTCCTGTACAGAGCACATTCAGGGCTTTTCAGAGATACTAAATGTTTGGATGTTTCACCATAACCACTCCCTCTCCTTGGTCTTCAAAAATGTCTGATATTAATTTAGTGACACTCTTATGAAAATATGATAATATTTTGTAATTATCATTTAAATGTGTCTAATTTTTAAACTCTGTCATAAATCAACATCTCATGAAAATGTTATGGAGTTTCAAATCAAAATATAACTTTCGGTTAGGAAACAGGATGTTGATTTCATACATGTCCTCATATGAGGACACTGGGACTAAAAGCATGTTTATTAGCATTTTGGGAGACAAATAAAGAATGAATGAACAGGAAAAGAAAATATATTTCAATATTCCTATGAAATATTATATATTATAATGAAAATCTTGTCAAATATTACTCCCATTATTACACTTCTTTTTTCATTACATATTGCCCCAAAAACACATTAAAATGCAAATTTGATTTAGTTGTATATACATTGTATATAATGAGAAAACCCGTTTATGGCCATTTTACACACATTTTGCAGAAAGAAAAATGGTATATCAAATCATTCTGTTATAACATAGCTGAGAATCATCTTTATACAAAGTTTGGTAAAAAAAAATCCTGAAAACTAAAAATGTATTGGTGATTTTAAAAATCTATTGTTTTTGCCTATGCATGTTCATTAATGTCTTTTTATTTTATTTTTTTAAAAGGAGTCCCGATGTCCTCTACCAAGGACATAGCATAACTTATGATTGAAATATAATGTTTTACTTTTTTTAATGCTATAAACAATGTAAAGACATGAAAAAAACTATTTTTTTCCTAAAAATCTTTTCTCGGGTCTTAAGAGGTTAAATTGTAAAAATATTTCACAATATTACTGAACTTACTATATTTTTTATTAAATAAATGCATCTTGGTGAACATGAAAGACATCTTTAAAAAAACCTTTGGCTGCCAGTGTATATGATAAATATATTAAAGTAGTTTATTCAAGTTTGTTCTTTGAGAAAAATACACAGATCTTGCCTTTTACCACACCAACACTCTTGTGTGTGACTTGTCCACCCCAGTTGTGTTTTGGAGTAGTTATGGAAGATTTCACTCTGACTCTGTCTCCAACCTTGATGTCAACTGAAACATTTTTTGTTAACAAATATAAAAAAGAAAATAATACAAAGCACATTTTCACTTACAAGTACAAACAGATTAAAAAAAATTGTATGGGAAGATTACCTAAATCACCAATGGTCACAAGCTCCATTTCGGAAACTAAACCAGTCCATTTCTTATGCTCAGGAAAATCTACAATCAAAGACTCATCCTGAATATCTGCAGAAATAAAAAACATTAAAAAAAATAAACAAACATCCTATTTTCTCACTCTGTGGCACACAGTGAGCCTACAAAAAACTTTAATCATCATTTCATTTATTCTGGTAAAAAGCACAATGCATGAGGAATGCATGCCGAAATCATTGCCGGTCAGTCAGTGCTCTCACTTTTAACAACACCAATGCTTTTGTGAGTGACTGCTCCCCATTTGTGTGTTGGTGTAACAACAGATGGCTTCACACGAACTTGGTCTCCAATCTTAATAACGGACTCCAGACCTGAACATCCAGAAATGCAAGGAGCGTCACGATCGTCTGAGAGGAGATTTCTGCTGAATAGCTGCTACTTAAATGTCATGGAAATACTGTAATACTCTGTGTAATTACCAAGCTCATCATCACTGGTTACTAGCTCCATTTAAAAGAGAATTCCCTTTCAATTTGCATGTTCAGGAAAGTCAACAATCAGACTGTCATCACATTTAATGTCTAAATTTTAAGGCTTGTACTTGAGTGCGGATTGCTTGATAACATGATTTATCTGAGGGAAAAAAACACAGATCTTGCTCTTTTACCACACCCACATTCTTATGTGTGACATAAGCACCCCAGCTATGTTTTGGGGTGGTAATGGGAGGTTTCTCTCTGACTTGATGTCCAACCTTGATGTAAACTGGAGCATTTATTATTGACAAATTTGAAACAAGTAAAATATTACAGTAAGCACTTTCATTTCTAAGTGCACAACACAACATTTAAGCTGCAGCTTAAAAATTCTCTGCAATTATTTAAATGATCATGTTTTTAAATACAAACAATTACCTGGACCAGTGCTGGCCACAATCTCCATTTCTGAAACAATACCAGTCCAGTTTTTTTGCTCCGGGAAATCTACAGTCAAAGACTCACCCTGAATTTCTGCAAACATAAAAAACAAACCATTCATGTAAAATATGCTGCTTTTTCGCACTCTAACAGGCATTCAGTGAGCCTATAATAATTTCTTTCAACATTCATCATTTTCAGACATTTGTATGACTAATGTAAGTTATGAAACTCAGTGCTCTTACTTTTAACAACACCAATGCTTTTGAGAGTGATTGATCCCCATTTGTGTGTTGGAGTAACAACAGACGGCTTCACACGAACTTTGTCTCCGATCTTAATATTGGAGTCCAGACTTGAAGGTCCTGAAATCACATGGAGGTCTGAGTGTTTGATGGAAGACTCTCATAGATTATTCTCTCATGGATCAAATTTTGTTGTTTTAAACACTTTGTGCCTCGTTCTACAGATGGACAACTGTTTTGCTAAAATAGACTCTTTAGATATGTACTGCTTGGAGTCATATTCACTCTTAAAAATAAAGGCATTGATGGTTTCATGAAGAAGCATTAACATTCATGGAATCTTTCCATTGCACAGAAGGTTCTTTATATTATTAAAATATTCTTCAATATAAGATAATATGGTTCTTCTATGGCATCTTTGGCATAGAACATTTATGCTGAACCTTTATTTTTAAGAATGTTTCTGCTGAAGCTGCTACTTAAAACATTTATTTACCAATCTCATCATCATTAGTTGCTTGCTCCATTTCAGTTAGAATTCCTTTCCAGTTTGCATGTCCAGGAAAGTCAACAACCACACTGTCATCACTTTTAATGTCTAAACAGAGAACAAGTTCATATTGTAACACCTGTTCTTTAGTGAGAATTGCTTGATAAATTATTTACAGTATATGAGGGAAAAAAATACAGATCTTGCCTTTTACCACTCCCACACTCTTATGAGTGATGTTTCTACCCCAGTTATGTTTTGGGGTAGTAACCGAAGATTTCACTCTGACTTTGTCTCCGACCTTGATGTTGAATGGATCGTTTTTGGTTGACAAATCTGAAACAAGTAAAATATTACAAATTGCTCAGATGCAATGTGCAATATTCTATAAGTCAGATGTTCTACATATTTCTATAGTTTTTTTTTTTTTTGATGAATATGGTAGATTACCTGAACCAGCACTGGTCACATGCTCCATTTCTGAAACTACACCAGTCCAGTTTCTTTGTTCGGGGAAATCTACAGTCAACAAATCATCCTGAATTTCTGCAGAAGTATTTATATATTTTTTAAAAATCAGTAATGGTAACTATCACATTTTCTCACTCTGTGGTACTATAGATGTTAAGTGAAACTAAAGTTTTATATATACAGTATGTGTGTGTGTAAAAATATATAATTTTACTTATTGTGCTAAATAACAGGAATTGTCATGTCTAATATAAATACAAATCAATATCAGTCAGTGCTCTCACTTTTAACAACACCAATGCTAAAGTGAGTAACCGATCCCCATTTGTGTGTTGGAGTAACAACAGACGGCTTCACATGGACTCGGTCTCCAACTACAATGTCAAATGGAGGCCTCTTTGCTGACAAATCTGAAACTAAAAGTAAGAGATTACATTAAACCATTTCATCACTCACAAATACAATTAGATACAAGAAGTCATTAAATGGAAATCATTCGTTACTTTACCTTTATTAACTGTTTTGCTTATTTCCTGCATGCAAGTAGTCTCCAGTCTCCCAACAAGCTCACATATAAGTTTTCTTATGTCCTCAAAAGAGCAGTATGGCTGAAATGAGAAACTCTGCAACTCATCAGATCCAGATGCAGAGGACGCGGACTCACAATTCTGTGGGGGAAAAATATTCAAGGACTAGGTCATATAAATTTCAGAAGAACTGTAAATATTTGAACAGTCCTTTTTCTTATAATTCTGGCTTCTAATATAATCATATTGCTTATAGTGCTTGTACCTGAAGAAATTGGATGTTGTTGTCTGTCTGTAGAAGATCGTCAAGAACTCCTTCCCTCTTCTTCAGCTCAGTAATTTCCTCCTGCAGCTTCTTTTGTAGCTTTGTGCCTTGATCCAGATCAGCTTTTTCTTCAGCTTTTATTTCTTCAATCACCTCATTGCTTTTTTTTTCAATAAATTTGACTAATTCACTGAAGACTTTCTTACTGTTTTCCACTGCCTTCTTTGCAGAATCCTGAGGAGAACCAAAGCACAACAAAAATGTTTTTTTACAATTACAAGATCCAACATGGCAGTGATTAACCTTGTGTCTGATAAATGCAGAGTTGTTCTGTAAAAGTGTGAAAGTTATTTGTTTTACATCAGAACTTACTGAATGGGAGGCGATGTCTATGTTCATCTTCTGCAGCACTTTTTCTTTTGCCTGGATTGTCTGCTTGACTTTTGTCTGAGTGTCTGTGAGTTTTATCTAAGGGCAAATCAGTTGCAGTCTGTTTAATCTTACTGAAAACATTTGTCAATAGCATTTTGTAATTACGTAATGATACAAGTAGGACTGTCAAAGTTATGCGTTATGCGCTGCGATTGATAATGTGAAGCATGTGGTTAATTCAAAATCTTTAACGTGTTAAAATAATAAAATGCAAATAAATTTACAAAGTACGTAAAATTACATCATTTCACACTCTGTGTAAAATACAGACTGAACCGAATGTCAAAATATCCCAAAATATATGCAAACTTCTTGGCTGGAAAAAACAAACCAGCATCTCACTAGTAAAGTTTTGCAGAATGAGGATTGTAATCAAGAACAATTGCGGTGACCGGTACCGGGTGTTGTAGCCTACAGTTACCACGGACACAAGTCCGTTATATTGACATGCAAAGAATATGTGTAATGTGCGCTCTGGATGCACATAGTATTTATGTACAGACACATTTCAGTACATTGTTATTGTTTCCACACACATTCAGGATAATGTTTTGATTTGTCATGTGTATGTTGCTGTGTTTAGTCATTCTGAATGGATCAGTGTAGGCCTACTGTAGTAAGTATACGAAGGTCAAGGTCAAGGCGGTTGGTTTAGAGATTTTTTGGCATCTCCATGTGGTCCTGTTCGGTATCGCAACTTAACTTTTTAAAAATGTGAACAAACTCTTTGCTGTTGCACTGTAAACATAGCCTACTATACACTGTGAATTTCTGTAATATTTTTTTTTTCATATGTGCTTTGGTATGCATACATTTATGAATTAGGCCTCCTTATATAATTTAGTTAATAAGTGTCCTTTTTTTTGTTGAAAAATACCTAAATTTACTTTGGAAAAAGTTTTCAGAAAATATATTTTTGTGTGAATCAATCTGATGGGTTGCTGGATATAGCAAATTATGACAAAATGAATGTGTTAAACAAATTGCCTATGCTTATTTTCTTGATAAGACTGTGATTAATCGCACAAAAAGGGTGTGATTAATCATCTTTTTTTTTTTTTTTTTTTTTTTTTTAGGGCAGGAACATTATAGTGGGGTTGTACATGTGTTTCACAGTAAGAGGCTCGACACTCCAAACAAGACTTGACAGCTTTGATCATTTCTCCAGCACAGAAATCACACGCAATCTCTCCAGGTCCAGCAAGACATTGAGCAGACTCTGACACTTGCAGCTCTGTGCTCCTCAGTTTCTCCATTATTTCAGCAAGCACTGTACTTCTGTTGAGTGGAGGCTTTGAATTGAAGGCCTGTCTGCATTGTGGACATCTATAGACCCCGTTCAGATCATTTGTATTCCAGCACTCACCTATACAGCTCATGCAGTAACTATGTCCACACGGAATTGTCACAGGATCCCTCAACAAGTCCAAACATATTGAGCAGCTGTACTGGTCGTGATCTCCAAGTATAGCCTCTGCCATTATGCTACCAACACGCGCTAAGACACTACAGAAGATTTGTTTCGCTGTTGTCGTTCCACAAAAGGGTGTTTATCAAAGACCCGCTCTGGTTAGAAAAGAATGCGTTGTGTAATTTAAAAAGAGAGTGAAAGTGAAAGTAAAGAATTGGTGTAACACTATGATTAATAATAATAATAATAATAATAGGCTAATAATAATTCTGAAAGACACAAACAACACAGAAATACAGGTGAAATACAGAACTGAAGATTATTTTTGTATTTACCTGATAACAATTCGTTGTGTCCGTCATAGTGAGGTGGCAGGAAACGTCTGAGGAACTTTGACCTTTGATCCATTTTATGACTTGAAATGTTTGTTCAAAGTACATGTTCGTCGTAATTAAATCGCGTAATAAATATTAAGTAATAGTTATGAGTGCAGACATAAAAAGGAAGAAGATGAAAAAACACCCAGTGCTGTATAAAATATAAAATAAAATTCTAGGCGACTGAGTAATCGCGAAGAGCTGAGTGTGTGTCCTTTTTCAGTAGTGTCTTTTAGTATAGCCACTAGATGGAGACACTGAATAGAGTATAATAAATCTTGATTCAGTTTCATGTGACAAATGAACCATTCTTACTCTTTAAGAGTATATAACAGATTCATTGACAAGTTGACAACCTCCTTCAGTCTTAGCATCGATCTGGAGAATTCTCTAACACCATGATTTAATGTTTTCTAGGTAGGCTACGTGAGAAAATTAAGTGATTTGAGTAGACTGTAGCTACTATTGTGTGTTGTCGGCAAAATGGAGCCAAGTGGGACGTCACCACAGTTTAAAATCAGAAGAGAAACGCAAATTCCCAAAACTGGTGAAAAGAAAGAAATCTCCTATTGATAGGACTTGAACCGACTCAAGGGAGAAATACCAGACCTCACAGTATTATAGCAATGAAAGTCACAACTCACTTCCTCAGAATATGGAAAACTGTTAATAGTGTTATTGTTTTTACTACTGCCAGACAGCCGAAGTTGAAGGCAGACAGTATACAATGTTCCTGCCTAATTAATTAAATTCTAGTTATACTACATAATACTTGGCATTTCTATTCTTTTAAGTCACAACTGGGATGTTTTTCCCAATTCCTGGTAACTGAACTAGAAAAACTGAGTACTGAAACGTGTGGTCAAAATTAACTGAATATTATTATATTATTAATAAATCTGATTTTATTTTATTAACTAAATTGTTCAAAATGACAAAGGAAAGTGACATTAAAAATTCCTCAGAAAATTTCCAGCTATTTTCCATCACATTAGGAATCAAATAGGGCTACAATTTAGTTTTTCCTTAAATATATATATATATATGTTTTTTTTTATTTTTTTTATTTTCAGTTTTAGTTTGTATCTCCTCCAACATCACCTCCAGCTTCTCAAATGTCTGTACACCCCAACATACAGGAAACATTTGAAGGTTTAATTAACAGATTAAATTAAATTAACATGCTGTGCTTATATTTGTTACATACATTACATAAAAAGAAAATGGTTATAAAAGTACAAATGCCTCAGAAAATCAAATATTGCTATTTAATAACAAAGTTAATATCGGACATTGCCTTCAATATAACTAACTTTGAATAACATGTAAATCTTTCAAATGTAAATGATTTTCTGAACGTTATCTAGTAAACTCTTATTTGGCCTGTGGGGATGGCTGAGAAATTAGACCAATAAATAACTCAGTGTGTACTTTGTGAAATCATACATTCTTGCATGTCCATTTGATTTTTAAGATGCCTCAAAAACAAGATGTGCATTGTTGAAGTTGGGGCCCAGGGTAGAATCACAGACGCTTTTGTTCGGGGCTCCCCGCTCCTGCGATGGCCTGCTGTCGATCAAGATGCAAGAGTCCGCCCCCATCGGCCTTTCACTGCTGCAGCTGGCTGCCTCTCGCTGCTTACCGTATGCTCTCACTGCAATCTGTGCTGGAGAGGCCGAACGAGCTGGAGCTTCAGTAATAAACCCGGCCTACTAACGCTTATGACGCTCGCCATTAAAGAACACGACCAACACGAGGTAAGTATAAGCGTGCGATTTTTAATGCAATCTATATTATGTAGTCGCACCGCTTAATATGATCTCGATCCGCGATGGTTAAACGCGCGGTCTATTTCGAAAAGCGGCATGTTTGCGGAAGTGACCGTGTGGTCCATGTTTAGCCGCCCCTGTTATTTGCCTTTACATGTCATGTGTGTATCCAAAATATGTTTCACTCTCACGTGCATTTTGTCGACACGGTAAGCGTTCGGAAAAGTTGAAGACGCTGTTTGGGTTTCCCGTAAACAAGGCGAAGTTGACTAGCCAGCGGACCCGTTTGAAAAATCAAAATGGCTTCCATCTTTGTCGTCTCGGCAGAGAGGTTTATACCTTTGTTTCCCCGTCTCGCATGTCAGGGAGTCTGTGAGTAACCTTTTTTTATATTCATCTAGAGGATTATTGTCCACCGAACCTTCGTATTAAGAGTCTGGGTGTTTATTTCACTGGTTTTTATTTATTTTGTTGCTTACCCAGTAGCGCACTTTTTGACCAGTGACCACGTCAGTGCGGTGGGGGAGGGGAAGTGAGTCTGTCTGGGTGGAGCCTGAATGATACATTTTGTTTTAGTTTAGGCTCCAGCTACTTGAAGAATTTTTTACTGATTTTTTTTTTTGTGTGTATTATTATCAATTTCTTTTGATTAGTTTTGTCACATCTTGCAATGTAGAATTCCAGTTTCCTCAAATTCTTAACTGTTATGCTTGAGGGCACATGGAGATCTCCTGAAAATCTTTCTGGATATAGAGTGCTGCAGGAATAACATTTTTGTAGGCCAATCTAGAAGTTAGCGTCATATTGGTTCCCTTGACAAAAAGCCAATAGGATTTCCCCCCTGACGTTTAGATCATTGAAAAAAAATAATCTCTGTGAACAAGCTTATGATTCTCACTTATGATTCTTGCATGTTTCGTTCATCATACTAATCATAAGTTAACACAACTTTTATAAATTTGATGCCTAAATGCAACAATATAAAACGATATAAACCAACTACACCACAGTTGCATGACTTCACTGTCACCACCACCGAGTTTCCACCAAATCTTTTAATCTTTAAAGGCAACAGTTTGGAAAGTTTGAGTTGACTTGCGAGTAGATATTTGCCTGAATGGGGTTTAATGTTCATGGCAGACGGATTTAGAGCAGTGGTTGTCAAACTCGGTCTTGGAGGGCCGGTGTTCTGCAAAGTTCAGCTCCAACTTGCCTCGACACACTTGCCTGGAAGTTTCTAGTGTACCTAGTAAGACCTTGATTAGCTGCTTCAGGTGTGTTTGATTAGGGTTGGAGGGCTAAACTCTGCAGGACCAAGTTTGGTGACCCCTGCTTTAGAGCTTTTTCAAGATACACAAAAGCTCAAAAAATCATGAGTGGGATTTTATGTTGCAGAAAAAAACGTGAAATATCTTGAGCTTGTGTAAACCACAGACTTTATTTCAGGTATTTAATGAAAAATGCACTGATTCCGGGACGATAGAACCCGAAGTTCAAAAATCCTAACTCGTTTCCGTGTTTAAGGACTCATTCCTGTGGCACTCTATTATTAACTGAATGCAGTGCTGGTGTACGAAATGTTGGTTGTAGTTTTAGTTGCTACAGATGTGTGTCAGCTTGCACTCTGGTCTCTTTTTCAACAGTGCTGGGATGTCACCCATGCTTCAGGTAGGCACACAACCATGCCCTTAATATAACTGGTTAACAGTGTGGTTATGGGTTTAAAGTTCTTGTTTGTGATCTTGGTTAACTGTCGAGCAAATCATCTCCATTATGTTAAGTCCTCCCTCTTAACATGAAATGACTTTGCAATACATGTGGTGTTTTTTTGTGTGCTTGCACTCAATGGATTTGTTGGTTTGCTTGTTTTGCATAGAGTTTGATGTGTAAAATGTAACTCATTACCATTGTTTAGCTATCGTCTTATGTCTTTCCCACCTTTCACCTTCCCACCAGTATTTGTAGCTGATCAGAGGTCCCTGTGCCCCCTCCCTACTCCTCCCAACATACATACACACACAGTCACATACACGCTCACAAACACTCAGTCAGTCAAGAGTTAGTGTGATGACAGATAATGTGCTTTGTCATGCTGGTTGGTGTCATGTGTTTTTCCTATACTGGATGCATGTTTGTTACTTTTAGGCTCCCGTAACCCTGGTTGGCTGGCCACGGAGACAGGGAGTCCTCGTCTCAGTACTGTGGCTCTCCACATTAGACTTTCTGTTTGGGGTATCTACTTTCACCTCCACTTTTATTCATATTCAAAGGCTTGAAGCAAAATTCCAACATTTTATTAGTTAAATGAGTCATTTGATATAGTGTGATTTAATGTAGATTACTTTGATAATCTTCAAATTCCCATCATGTGCAAAGATCTAAATTAAAAAATGCATTTATGCATACTTTAGGTGGTTGTGGATTGACAGTGAATGTAAGATGTGATCTTTAGCCTCAAAAATATTCTGACGTTCTAAAGTGTAGGAGTTTATTGTTCCTGCTAAAATAATTTTCAGTTACACTAAAGCATTTTTCATAGTCCATATTAGACTCTTGCCAAGGTCCCTTATAGTATTTAAAATGTTACAGTAATCATCATAGTTAATTATCCATTTTATTTTTAAATATATTCATACGCACATACATAAATATTCATGTCACAGACATTTTGATACAATTATTTAAAATAATAATTTAACTCTGGATTATTTGTTTGTATGTTTTCTTTTTTTGTTAAGATGAATGCACTCAATTGTATTTTCTTAGAATGACTTTCCTTGAATTTATTCTTTGTCATTGACATTTCTATTGGTTTTATATTCTAGTTGAGATATTGCAATAATTATTTATCATTTTTAATAAATGTAAGGGAAATTTTTACAGATCTAAGACACAGGATCAGAATTGACTTTGAACAGAACTGGATGAATGCGAACTGACCGCTGCTTTTTCTTTTCTGTAGGCTAAACATGTTCTCCAAGGGCACCAAGCGTAAGTTTTCTGATGGTGGTGAAGAGATATCTGACGAAAGCCTGCTAGGTGCCAGGGTGGCATCTTCATACAGCTTGCAACGGCAGTCACTGCTGGACATGTCCCTCATTAAGCTGCAGTTATGCCACATGCTGGTGGAGCCCAACCTCTGCCGCTCGGTTCTCATTGCCAACACGGTTAGGCAGATTCAGGAGGAGATGACCCATGATGGCAGCTGGCATATGGTCACTGAAGCGTTCTGCAGTGCAGGCCAAAGTCCCTCTGAGCGCTTGGTGGCCACTGAGGTCCTTTGCAGGTCACGAGAGCAGGATGCAGAACCTAAGCTCTTCTCTGTCATCAGCTACGAAGGTTGCTGTGAAGAGGAGGTGGTAGCTGATGAGACTCTGTGCTCCGTTTCAGTTAGCGATACGGTCTCTAATGTGTGCCTGGCAGGGCGTATGGGCCAGTGCTGGGAGAAGAGTGAGCTCAGTGGTATAGAGAGGGATGAAGAGGCACTTGAAGACTCTAGACTTGGTTCAGGAGAAGAGGAGGAGATAGACACTGAGGACGGGGCTTCCACAGAGAGTCCAAAGACCATTGGGCAAGTTTTTGGTACATTTGAAATAAAAAACGGTTCCCCGGGTCCAGACTCTGCTCTTGAGGAGCTGTTCTCAGATGTGGACACCTCCTACTATGATCTGGACACCATGCTGACCGGCATGCAGAGCGCACCCAAGATGGGCCCTTATGACCTCCTTGACAGCTTGGCACCTTCACACAGTTCCCCTTCAATAGTGTCCACTCCAAACTGTCGTTCTGATCTCAATGAACTGGATCACATCATGGAAATCATTGTGGGTTCTTAGGTTCGACATTATTCCGAGACTTACACGCTTGTCTTAATTTAACTAGCTTTTCTGTTCCTTATGGAAAGCAAGTAATGTCTGGAGTCCTTTCAGGGAAAAGAGTTGATGTCTTTTGAAGGATGGCCTTGATTTTATGAGCTGACCATAGTCATCTTATTTGCATACCCTTTGTATGTTTTAATTATTTTTTTCTGTATTTGTCTGTCCAGACATGCTGTTTTTTATTTAATTTATTTGTTATAATCATGACACTATGGAGAGCAGAACAAAATGTATACAAAAGTTGTAAAGTTTGGGATATTTTCATAAGGAGAAAAAAAAGATTGTCTAGATGTGTATATAAATATATATTTTTACAATAGATTCTTCTTGTAATATGTTACTGTACATTATGTACATGTTCTACAAATTGAATTTAACCGAAGAGTTTAGATTCTTATGTGCAACAACACAAGTTTTCTGTTAATCGAAATCCATAAACTGAAGGAGCTTAATTCAGTACTACAATATACAAAAGGCACCAAGTATACATACAGTGACGCATGTTTTACATTTATGTGCTCATTTGCACAAAGTATTTTTTTTTCCTCTCAAGGTTTGATTGCAGTTGTCGGCCAATCAGCTCAGCCGTAGATTTTCAAAAGTTCTTATATTTTGTCTTGTCAACAAATGAAGTGTAATGGGGCCAACTCATTTTATATTGTGACTTAATTTATTTAATTTATTTACTGCAAATGGTGAGTGTTGGCTGTGGTCACACTCAGGGTGGCTTTTAACTCTAGAGGACTTAATAGGCCTGATTCACAAATGCCTTTTGCTCATTGTAAATCGGTCACAGAATTAGTGTTTTGTAAGTTGTTTTGCATCAGTTATTGGTTAAAGTATTGGGTTTAAATAAGTTAACTGTTTTATTATTGGTGAATGGCTCAAATATATCTGTCTATTAGTCCTCTAGACCCCTCATAATGAGAAGGCATTTGTCTAGTTCTATGCATTGAGTGTCATAACACACTTTATACGCATGAAGTGTTTAAAATGCATTTAGTACAGTATTCTTTTTTTGAAGAAGCAGTCAACAAGAGACGGTTTTATTTTGCTCAACATTTTACCCCAGTTGTTACATGTATATTATTTGGTTTCATCTAAATTTTTGCATAAACTATGTTTGTGCAAATTATAGGTTATTACACTTTGATAATTGTTTTCTTCTACATTGTCTCACACTTCAATTCTAAGAGGATATTGTTTATTGTATGATCTTAAACTAGTATAGAGTATAAACCTTTTATATGAGCATTGTAGCTTTTTAACGTTTTTTTAATAAAAGGTACAACTTATGAAAACAAGTGTGTGTGTACATGTTTTTCTATACTGATGGGGACTTAAACCTGAATACACACCAATTCATGGGGACTTGTCACTGTACATGGGTACGGAAGCTTATAAATCATAGTTTTTTTTTGAGATTGTAAAAATGCATAAAGTTTTCTGTGAGGGGTAGGTGTAGGGCAATAGAAAATACAGTTTGTACAGTAATAAAATCATTACACCTATGGGGAGTCCCCACAAGGATAGTCAACTAGACTGTGTGTGTGTGTGTGTGTGTGTGTTTCTCCTGCAGTCAACTATTAAGGAGTTCAGCTGTCCGCACAGTGCCTATAAATGAGCATTGAGAATATTTGTTTGAATGAAGTGTGACATTTGAAGGGGCAAGATAACCCAGTAACTGAGTTGGGTATAAAGTAAAGACAGGTTTTTGATGTCGACTTATTTTTCTAAACTGGTTTGAAGATATCATGTTGGATTGTTTCCATGTAATGAACTGATACAGCCAGAAAACATATTAATTATTAATAATCCCAGGGAAACATAAAACGTATATATTAATAGGCACAAAACTTAAAATGTTACCAGAGAGCAAACGTACAGTAGGACCTCCATTCCTAAAATCAACGCCAAGGTTTTATTCTCAACGGCGCGAATTCTCACGCATTGACGTCAGCAGATGTGACTCAAATGAACGTCAATGTTTAAATCCCTCCGCTTGCGCGCGGATATCATAGATTACATGTCAGAAAATGTTGTATTATCCAACCTACATAGTTGTGAGGAGGTTTTATTACCTACTGTATCAGACTCGACTAAAAATCAGCTTTGCAAAGCATCATTTAGAGAAATTCTACAGTAAATATAACTCTTTAACATCGGTAGTACTCAGATGCATGTTTTCTTAAAATAGACGTGAAATAGACAAAAAGCAAATGGAAAGCCACAAACGTGCCATTTACAACTGAGTTTGTGCCGTAGTCCGATAGCCGGTGCTCCAAACCGTCACGTTTTCGGTCTGTGGGCATGTTAGGGGGACGAATGTGACAGACTAGAGAACACGCGTTCCACCAATCAGGGGCCGTTACTAGGCGGGTCTGAGATCGCGTTCGACCAATCACAGCCATCCAACCTGACGACCGTCAATCAGCTGAGTTCTTTCCCCGTTGATTCTACAGTGTAGAGAGAGTTCTCTTAAAGACGCGATCGGTCGCGTAGTTTTGCGCAAAATAATGTTCAGACTTTGGACCAGAAGCTCAAAGCGAAGTTCAGCGACAGGTTTAAACAACCGTACATCCTATTTTTATCTGTCAAGAGAATGTAGCGGCCATTCGAGGATCTCGGGTAAATTAATTTCGTAGTTCCATGTAGACAGAGCCCGCACTTTACCAAGTACGAACTAGCTAACGTAACTGGCTAATTCATTGCGCATCACGTGTGATCTTAGCCGCGGAGTCTAGCGGTGCGCGCTCACGTCTTGCGAGAGTAGTTGGTTGTAATAAACGCTAAACAACGAAGCAGTTGGTTGAGCCAAACATAATGGTATGGGTCAAAGGGACATCACAGCGTTCGAGGCGTCCATGAAAAGAAAAAGCGGAATTCCCACTGCCTCTATGTGTCGACTGGATGTGGAGTCCGCCGTTGTGAAGAAGGAAGTTGAGCCCGGCGGAGGAGATGGTGCCCTTTCCTCGTCAAGGTAACGACGTTCAGTCAGAAACTGTTTTCTGGATGTCATTTGAGCATGGCAGAGGACCTTTTAGTTATCATTCTGTTTTTGGAAATTGTTTTATGTTTTAACACTGTTCAGCACTCTCGCGCTTTACGTAACACCTCGAGTTTATGTTGACGATACTCGAGCTTGTGTTATTCCGTCCACACTAGTTTATTTACAACTGGAGCAGTCCTAGCAAAAATAATTTATACTAGTTTTTATATCTAGCTTATTGTGTATGAGCCTATAAATACAGAGCGTTTGGTACCTCGCGTTTTCTTCTGTACGTCGTACGTGATCCCGGTTGCGTAACGGGGTCGATTCGGACCCGAATAACGTTTACTCGTAATATGTGACTGGACGGGTTTTCAGCAAACTTGTCATTAAAGAATGAAATGGTATGTCGTTACGACATTTCAGACGTCTTTTCGCAAACATGTCTAACTAAAGCAATAGCGAAAGCCAAGAATGCATGAATGCAGTTTTCAGTTTTACTAAAGTTTCATTATTCGAATGAATGATGTGTCATTTTACATGAATCTTGACGAGTATGTATCATAGTATGTGTCTTCATACGCGAAGAACTCGAAGAGCGATTTAAACTTACGTGCAGTTTCAGTTTCAGCTACCTTTCGGAAAGCAAATGCCATAGTTTTTGTTGAAAGCAGATAGTATGTGGAGTTTAAATGATACAATCTTCATTTGGCTGTAATATTATATAGTAAGAGTTGAAATGTAGTATGGTTATTTCTAGGTATTTTTAGATAATTGGCTTGAGTCATAATAAGTACCACCTTAAGGTTTTTAAAGAAATGCACAGGTTTGTAATATGTATTTGTCTTCTACAGATGCTAACTCGGCAGTAAACAGCATGCCAACAGTGCATAATCTAGATTCTGCTCTCTCATGGCTGTCAAACAGTCAGTTAACTTCTTGCAAAAAAGTTGTCAGTTGTTTTTCGCTTTTTTTTGCTTTGCAAAAGCAAATGACTTATTAGAAGGTCTTGATGTTTTCACAGTAAGCATTAAATCGAATGTAAAGCAGGGTTGTCAGCAACGTCTTGACCTTTGCACCTCAGTCATTACTTGCTAATTATTTCTTAGTAGGCAAGTATTCAGATTAAATTAATAAAATCCGTCTGAATCTCATACTAGACGGGAAGTTTCACCATTGACTCAAAGACTTACACCCATGCCCGGTTCTTAAGCACAATAGATTGTAAATTGTGCAATTTCTGGTGTTATTTTATGATTGTTGGGGCAGTCTTCAGCTTTTATTAAACATCTCAAAATACAGTCCACTTCAGATTGCTTTTAATCACTGCATAAAAAGATTAACGCAATCTTTACCTATAGTTCTGATTGGGTGGGCAAGACAGACAGACATTTGGGTGGGCTCAGCCCCCCCCTGCCCATGCCTGGAGCCGGCCCCGCTTACACCATTGATAAGACTAACTGGCTTCATATGAGCGTGTGTTCACGTCTGTCAGCGTGACTAACACCCTGAGTCACTTCGTCAGTCTGTTGGAGCCGCCCAGTTACAAAGCTGTCCAAACTAAGACATCCGGCCTGTCTACCCAGTGGTTCATTATTCAAGAATTAGTCGGCTTGTCAATGGCATTTGCCACCTAATCCCTCCCTTCTACTCGCAGTCAATCCCTGGTGCTCTTTCTTACACTCCTCAACTCAGTCTCTCTTTTTCCTCCCACTTTCTCTTGCAGACTAACTTTTCTTGATGCTCCTGCTTGCTCTGGCTTACGTACACCCTCTCTCTCTCTTTTTTTTTTAAAGACTCTTTCCTGCTGTCCTCTTTATTGTTACTACCTCCTTTGGGGCACTGGGAGAGCCAAGGGAGGGAAAATCGGAAGAGAAAAAGATGGAAAAATGACTCAACCACATCTGTTCGGTTTGATCTTGTGCAGGAAGTATCATAACTTAAGGCGGCCTATGAGTTAAAGTAACTCTTATCTTGTCCTCAGAGTGTGACTAAAGATCATTTCAGTGCTGTCTGTCACTGTGTTCTTCTGTTCATTTATTGATTTTTTTATGTACTAATCACACAGTGATGGAAATGAAGTCCTTATCTCTCTACCTTTAGTTAAACTGGTGTATCTTTTTGTGTGGAACTAGGCTGCTATTAATTTATGTGGTGCTGTGCTGCTGTAAGTGAAAGCAGCAGTTCAAAGTCACTTCTCAGTTGTTCAGCCTCTTATGTGTGTTGCACAGTCAGTGTAAATGATAACTTGACGGTCTGTATAACACTGAATGTCAACACTTTTTTTTAAAATTTGCCTTCATTATAGAAGTGTACCAAATAGGGATGTTAATTTTAACCAGTTAACCGTTAACCGGCCGTAAGGATTTTTGACCGATTAATACAATCAGTTAAACGGTTTAAAAAGTCATTTATTATAATTTTTTTCAGTAATTTATAAAAATATTTAAAAAGGTTTGCTGCATGGTTAAAGTACGCTACGTGTATATAAAAAAAAATGCAGAGTCGAGTATAAGTCGCATTTTATTATTTCATTCAGAAATAGGCCTAATGCCGATGCAAAATGTTTACAAACATTATAATAAACACTGTAAACTAGGGATGCACCGATATGAAAATTTTGGCCGATACCGATAACCGATTATTCTTTATTTTTGAAAACAATGTTAGGTCTCTCATTTGACACAAAATCAAATGTTTCCATATTCACGATGTATTTGAATGCCAAAATATTATATATTATGTAGCCTACTTCCCTGGCGTTCCAATATCCACGTAAAACAAAATGTTTTGTATAACACCACGGCGGTACAGTGATAACACTTAACAGCACAGACATATTTGAACTGAGCTGTGTGTTTTTTTTCCATATGTTTGACTGACTATATTTTATTATGATAATGAACAGGCTGCATAGTCAAGGTAGCAATGCTTAACTGTGCGCGCATGCGGCACCGGCACAATCACTTACATTTTTTCCTTCTAACAGTAGAAGACACTACTCCTTTTAGTCATAAAGATAATCAGAATTGTAAAAGGTTTGCTTTTATTTGTGTACATTCACAATTAAAAACAAATCTTTGTGCTTTTGTAAAATAAGCCTAAAGAAAAATAGGATGCCGCTTTCTGCCTTCTGGTTTCCTTTTCGTGCAACAAAAATTAATTGAAACTCTGCATACTAGGTGTTACAGAAGAGGTCTGACACAACAGGTTAGTTTTATACAAAACAGTTTATTTGGTCACAGTGAGTACTGGTGTTTAGTCCGGAGGAAGTGAGGGTGAGAGAAAGGTCCGTGAGAGAGTGCAGAGTATATGGAGAGTGGAGTAATCCGAGTCTTTTGCTTGATTGAGGCTGGAAGGTATCCGGGGGAAGCACACACCTCAGCGATCCGGGAACTAGGAGATACAGGAGACACTAGGAGGAACACAGGAGGTAAGTAATGCAAGAAGTATTCAAAGGTAATCAGTAGCAAAGTCATTGAGTCATCTACGTGTATACGAGACCGGACAGTGAGGGTGTCTGAGGTGTGTGCTTTTATGCAGGCTGGTAATGAGGTGCTTGATTGGTGACAGGTGCAGGTGCTCAGAACTCCGGTGAGAGGGATCGTTGTGATTGGGTGGGTGGCAGAGCCTGGCTGATCTGTTACACTAGGCTACTTGTTGCACAGTTTTTCTTTCGTTTTCTTAATTTATTATTTAAGTAAAATTATATTTCTCGTATAGGCCTATTTATTATTATTATTTTATTATTATATTAATATATGATTATATTATTATTATATATTATTAAAATATAGCCTAGCTTTATGATGTTTTTCTCCGCTCGCAGAAGCGCTGCAGGTGCGTGATGTGATATGATGGCCATGTGAATCCTCATATTCTGTTGTTAGCTGCTTTTTGCGCATGTAAAATGAATCCCCGGGAAACAAATGTTAGTATTTTTAACAGTTCACAGACACTTATCCTTTCTAATTTAATTAAATTCTAATTTAAAATAATCTTGTCGGTTAATGGTTAATAATCGGTTAATGAGCGTCGGTTGTCGGTTAGGAAAAATAACCGAAATGAACATCCCTAGTACCAAACTCTGTAATTGAGACTACACTTTACACATTAGTAATAAAAAGTATGATAAAAGTAGTAATGATAATAACATTTACTTTTATTATCAAATGTATTAAATACATTTAGTTGTTGTTGTTGTTGTTGCAAAATCATGCATCTTGAAGAATGTCTGCTGATTATCAGAAAAGGCCTAATATTACCCAATTTGATGATGCTGAGTTCAACAATATCGACAAAACTCCATCATGTACAGTTTTTTCACAAAATAAGAGTTTTCAAATTAGTATCAGCTTTAAAGCACTTGTTAAAATAACAAAAGCTGTCAAATGACAGGTTTAATGACAAAAGTAAGAATTCAAAACATATCATTTAACTGCAAAGGAGTGGAAAAATGTTCAAATACTCAATTTAATGTCAAAGAACCTTCCGCAAAATCTGTAATTTTCTGTCACTGTTTGAATGTAGTAGAACTCCTACAGATGTAGGAAGAAACATCTGGGGCATAATTCTTCTAACGTTGAAATCTAATGTTGTATTAAGGCATAATACAATATATTTTAATGTTGTATCTTCTTCACCTTACAGTTGGTTGTTGAAAGCAATAATGCTATGAAATGCATGTCATATTTTGTGAGAAAGTGTGACATGCTAAAGCAAAACGGGCAGTATTTTTGAAGTCAGCACCCCAAAATGAGTAAGAAACAAGTATTGGATTTCATTCAGCAAATTAAACATTATTGTTTAAGTCTAACAATCAGGTAGTTATTATTGTGTCAAGCAGCAGTTATTTAACAATGATTAAAATCAGTACTACACATCGGTTATTGGACACGTTAAGATAATGTGTTTTGCATATAAAAATTTGGTATCATTGTATTGCCATGGTGGGCCTTTCCATGACCAGCCTCACTTCTGAATCACTACTAGGTAAAAAACAAACCGAAATACCATCATGTATATGTGCAGACCTGAAGTGATGCAACACAGCATACTCTTCTGCAGTGCTGCCTCTTCTATGGATCCCATTCGTGTTCTCCCACTTTGATGGTCGTCTCCGTAGTTGTGCTTATTGTCTTTGAGCTGCAGACTCTGTGTGCCACTCATGCGCCAGCCTCTCATCCACAGCTGTTGCCATGGCAAGCAAACCACAGAGGCCAGTCTAACCAGAGGGGCCCAATTTAAATCATGCCTTGCTGCTTTAAAGCTTTATAAAGCACATGTGATTGCAAACATCAGTCAGTGACCTTTTTCTCAAGCTTTAACACTTGTTTGATGTCATAAGCATTAGAGCCCGACCGATATATTGTTTTGCCGATATTATCGGCCGCAATGAGCCTGTCGCCGATATATCAGTATCGGCGAATATTCCGCCGATATGACTTTTTTTTTTTTACAGAACATGTAACGCAGATAAAATGCTTGAAATGGTGTAATTACTTAGTTTGTCCATTGTTTGCTACTGGTGACCTGGATGAAACGCTTTAAAGCTTAAGTCTATGGAAAACCATTGAAACTTTGAATGGCTTCAGCTTGAGGAACCCTCTCAAACGCGAATCGAGTGTACGTCTAGAGGCCTGCTTTCGAATGAGACCACCCCCGCGTCGATAGCCCCCGGGGTTTGTGAGTTACAGATGGTTAAATTCGCGGTCCGGCACACACGATCAAGCGATCCTGGGGGCTACCGATGCGCGGAGGGAGGCGTTCGAGAGGGCTCCTCGAGCTGAAGGGATCCCCCAAATTTGGTGGAGCCTTTGCGAGATAGTGACACCAGTCAACACTTTCACTTCAGTAAGGAGGTCTCTTGTTCAGGCAGCAGCGTTCAAGCGTTGTCTTATTCGACCACAAGTGCCCTGCGAAGTGTACTTCACATGAAATTCCGCCATGATTCCAGTTCCAAGGGAACGTACACGTTACATTCAAAGGGCATTAAAGTGCGCGAGATATGAATTTATATTGTTTTAATTTACAGAGGTATATTATGTCACACTTCTCTAGTAAGTTTCGTCTGTGTGTGAAGACAGTAGCGCAAATCCGTGAATGAATATTCCGAAGTGAAATAAACTTCAAAGGAATAAAGTTGAATGGAATTGAATTGAATTAAAGGTGAATAAACTTCAACTTTACTGTTCAGTGCACTGATGTCAGACTCATTTTGGATAATAAAGTTTATTGTTAAATTGTTAAATGCCCTGCCTCCATTACGTATCTTTGTCACGTCATTATAAGTATTTGATCACCACATTTGAATGATCATTGCAAAAAATGTGTTTAGGTATATATATTCTGTTTGTATATACTGTATTCTGTATATAGTACCAGTCAAATGTTTGGACCCTCGAATGGGAAAGTGTCCAAACTTTTGACTGGTACTGTACTATAATATACACACAGAATATAGGCCTTTTTTGCTCCCTAATATTGGCCCCGAAAAACCCATATCGGTCGGGCTCTAATAAGCATGATAAGCTATATGTAATATGAATTCTTCCATGTAATATTCTTCATGATTATATTGTTTTTATGTGGTCGTGGTGGTTTGCTCGCTCACATTCCATTTATAGCTTTCTGTTGCTGACAGAGACAGGCTGCAGACCCTCTTCCAAGCGTACATGTGCTCCTGCTGGAGTTCAGCTGTGAAATGTGCAGGAACACAAAATGTCCCTTTTGAAGCCTTGTAACTGCTTTGTAGGAACGACACCTATAGAGCTGAGCAGGAATGAGCCCAGAGTGCTCTGCTAGCATGCATGGTTATATAACTGCTAGCCCCGGCATGACACACTTGAGCGCAGCAGCCCATGCATGTGCGCACACACATGTTCAGGCTGTTTCCGGGCATTGAAAGTGTTTAATGAAACTTGTTTTGACACAAATGGTGTTAGTTGTTCTTTACTTAAAGATATCCTTCCCTTCGTGCTTTAGTCGAGGTTCATGACTGGTTGCGGTATCTGTTGCCTTAGATTGAGTCTTGACACTGCACTACACTTGAGACTACACAATCTAATGCATTTGCCTCACTTCTGAACACAAGAGGCTGTTCTTGGCTCCTGCAGCTTCCTGTGCATCCTGCAGTAGAGAAGAGCAGTCAGTGACCAGACCTGCGGGGGATGTCTGCCTTCGTTCAGAGTAATGGATGTACGGAGGGGGGTGCCTACACCACAGAGAGTGCAGAGGTGGATAGACAGTCTCTCACATTTACAGCCCTTTCCTCTCAAACTCCAGCTCTCTAGATACGGGGAGGCTATATGACAGAGCAGTTATGGTCGGGATTCAAATCGTGTGCCCACAAGCCACATTTCGCTTATGTTTGCACATAAACGTATGACCCAAACAAAATTTGTGGCTTGGAATAGTAAAACCTTTTTTCAGTGCTCAAAGATGGCTAATTCCTGCTACAGTTTGGATTTGACAGGTGAAAGTCATGGCAGTCACAATACACTCTTATAAAATAACGGTTGTATATTGGCATCGATAGTTCCATAAAGAACCTTTCCATTGCACAAAAGGTTTTTTATAGTGGAAAAGGTTCTCTAGATTATTAAAATGTTCTTCACACTAAGAAAAAATTGTTATTTTAAGAGCTGTACACTGAAAGGTTCTTCAATGGCATTGCTGCGAAAACCCCCTTTTGGAACCTTTTATTTTTAAAAGTGTATCTCGAAGGAGGTTTTTACTTGTCAGTATCGCTCATGCGATAGAAGGCTTTGCAGAGCTGCTGCAGTAAGCATTGCGCTCCTGTGCTGCGAATCCTCCTCCACTGTGAGAAGGGAGCACTAATGAAGCATGAGCTTATTCTCAAGTGTACTGCAGTCGCAGACAGGAGGAGTTTGAGCTAATGCATCCACCTCTCAGGAAGTCCCGCTCTGGGAGGAGGAGAAAGAGCTGTGTCAGGTTAAAGCTTCACGGTATCAGTCATGTATCAGATAACAGTCAAATTTTAAGGCAAAAGTGTTTGTCAAGAACACAGTTCAGCATTAGTCTGTATGCACTGTGCACATACAATGGTCATGGTGCTGTTAAATTCACAATTGGTTTATGTCATGCAAAGTAATTAACTGGACGGTGAACTCTGCAGGACTAGTAGAACATGCATGCATTCTTGTGATCCATGCAGAAACTTGTGTCAAGTATTAACATGGTCATGAAATGTCAGATAATTCAACCTTTTTATGACAAAGCAAGTTTAATGTTGTAAATGTGACGGCTAATGTTGTAAAATGTGATTCTGTGTGACTTTTCAAGAACATATTCATTAAAAAAATTATATTAATGAATTATTAATTCATGATATATTGGGGAAAAAATACCTTTTTGCAATGAAAAATATTTGCAAATAATGATTAAAATAAATACACCATACTGAATTTTTATGTGTATGAAAACGAGGCTATGAGGGATAGACAAAAACTCAAAATTTCGATTTTTGTAAATTGCATGTGATCTAAGACCTTTATTTGGTGCATGCCACTGTGACGAATGCGAGGCTGATGATACACAGGGGCAACTTTTTGAGAAATGTTACCGTCAATGGGCAACCAGGTGCCCACGACCGATCTAAAGTATCCAGATAGACATTTGCTACCCATTCTCAATGGGAAAGTGCCCAAGCTCAAAATTGCTCAAAAAAAGTTGCCCGGCAAAATTACTCAAAAAGTTGTCTTGCATTCGTCACAGTGGCATGCATCAAATAAAGGTCCTAGATCACATGTAATTTACAAAAATCTGAATATGTTTTGAGTTTTGTCTACTGAAGGTTTTTGTAAAGATGTTTAGCCAGCTAAAAAAAATGACATGTTAAACAACTGTACAATCCATTGAACACATTCTTTTTTTTCACACCCTTTTTATCATTCCTGTTAAAAATTAAATATGATGCTACTCTGACTAAGGTCTATTCAGTGTCTAAGGAAAATGTGTTTATTATAAATATTGCTTTTTACTTTGCTTACACCACTTGTCACTAAATTGAAACCTTTCTTGAAAATACTATAAACCTGTTTAAAAACCTTATGAAATCAATATGAATTCATTTTTTAAGAACTTAGAACATTTGTTTTAAGCTAGTTTTTAAAATTGTGGACACTTTTATTTGTCATCGATCCACCTATGGCATTGATTGTGGATTGTTCGGTGATGAGCTCAGCAGTCTAGAGAGGCATGTGCAATGTCTCACTTGCAAAGAAACATTTGTTGCTGGTACATAACATCCCTCTAATGTGTTTTTGCTAAATATATGATTGAGTAAAGCTTAAAAAGCTTGATTTACAAGTAATTATCATGCACCCTTATGTAATAATTCATTTCAGTGCAAGGTAGGTCAGCGAAAGAAATGTTCCTGTTCTGTTTTTCTGAACTTTCCATTCTGTTCTCAACTTTAGGTACATGTTGGGCCGGGGGGTGAAACGTAAGCTGAGCTCATGTGAGGACCCTGCTCAGGACTTGCCATATCCTCAGCAGAGGCAGCTGGTGCTGGACTTGTGTCTAGACAAGCTACAAAGCTGCCAGCGGCGAGCTGAACCCAGCCTGCACCGTTCAGTCCTGCTGGCCAACACCCTCCGCCAGATTCAGCAGGAAATGAGACAGGAGGGGGAAACCTGTTTGCCACCAGCCCTGCTCGGCCCCTCGCTCCCTCACGCCTCCACCCCACGCCACTTCCCTGACCTGCCACCTGTGCCCTTAGACTGTCCTCCACCTCTAACCGGAGCACTGTCCCCTTCATTGCCCCTCATGACTGCTGAGGAGGAGGAGGTCCAGTTTGGTGGCACCGTAAATGAGACTCTTTTGCCATCCCTCACTGGTGAGGACGACACAAGGTCATCAGATTCACTCTTTGGCTCATTCGAGATTACTAATTCCACCAGCTACTTGACAGACTTGGCTTTGGATGACATCTTTGAGGACATTGACACGTCGATGTACGACTCCTCTGACATTTCTGTCCTGGCGTTTCCTGTGCAGAGAAGCAACGGGGTGGACGATGGCCTCAAGAACCTTTCCAGCTGCACCTCCAACAACAGCCTACAGCTCTGTCTCTCAGACATCAACGACCTGGACCACATCATGGAGATCCTTGTGCGCTCCTGAATCACGGCTCGCACCACAGTGTCCTCATTCAGCCATCCCAGTGTTTTCTTTGGGAAATTAATAATACAATGCATTTTCTTTTTTAAAAGCAAACAAACAAATATTTTATCTATTTTTATACAAAGGACTGATATATTTATATATGAAAAAAGGAAACTGCCTGACACACTCTCACTGTAGTATAAATGCACATTTTAAAGACTTTTTCCAGATGGTCGAGCTTAAGCTGCCATCCTTCATATTTAAGCAAACTAAGATATGAATATGCAGGGACTTCGGAAACAAGTACAACGTATTACCATTGATGCTTATTTATATTGGATAGTTGTATTTAAAAGAAGATGGAAGAAAAGTGGATCGTTATGGACGCTCCTCCTTAGCTTTTGATAAGCTAAAAGACATTTATTTTTTGTGATCTCCACTGTATTCTGAAGCATTACATTTAACTGTCAGTAATTATGATTATCAGATCATGTCATGCACATGCAGCACTCACACTACCTCTCAAGATACCAAGAGTTCTTTCTCTATACAAAGACTGTCATTGTTACAACTGTATTTTAATGGTTTCTCTCCAATAACTTTCAAAACTGCTGATTGTTTAATATATGGCTCTCTGTTCACAGGAAAGCCTCTCCTCAAATGTTAGGATTCAGTCCAAAGCTATATAGCTGTAGAAGAAAGGCTTTTGTCTCGATCTTTCTATTCAAAATGTTCTTTTTGAAACATTTCTTACTTTGGTTTCAGAACGAGCCGTTGCTTGCATAAAAAGTGATCTGTATTTTCTAATCACTTGGAATTTAATCCTATTTCTACTTTTCACGTACATGATTGTCAGTCACACCGCCACCGTCGAATCCCTCGTATGAACATAGTGCCTACAACGGAGAATAAAGACTGCCGACGATGAACTGCACACTGTGGACCCGCGCATAGACTTGCCTGAGTTTCCTGCTCTATGCCCATGATGCTCTCTAAGTGGGTTGTTTGTCACTTTTTTGAGCATTTAGCATCCTCTGTCCTCTAAAGAAGCCATTACCCGAATATGGGTCCACATCTCCTCTCTGCTCTCTCATTGTGATCTACACTGTAAAAAGCTAATTGTGGATGTCTATGGTTGCCTCTCATGCTGTGGTCTCAAAGACCATTTCTGAATGTACAAGTTTACTTGTGTGGAGCAGAGATTAATCCAATCTGATGTCTCACCTGCTTACTTTTCCCTTCATCACAAGCTTAGTTATTAGTTACTATTTAAACTTGTGAAATGGTAGACTAGAGCAAGGCCCTTAGTTTTTGACCTGTATTAACATCCACCGAACATCAAGTTGCTGCAATCGAATGCGAAAGAGCCACAAGCTGCTGTCTCCATTAAGACTGGGCAGAAACAGGGGGAAGGGAAGAACCAGAGAGCGAGATTAAGGGGG